TTGGAAATCATGATTGGTTTTGAAAATATTATAATTAATGTGTTGTGGATGGAGTTGTGAACTTTTTTTTTCTTATATTAGAATTGTAACAAACAAGGTATTGTCCGTTGAGTTATATTTTACTTATTGTTTAGAGATATTTGTTTTGACAATCGGTGGAAGATTGCATTGCTTGTTGTAGAATGGCTATGGAATTGGAAAAACTGAACCTTTACATGTTTTATAATTTTGTTGGCTACTATGTAATGAAAGTGATATAATTAATGTTGAGATATTTAGTGAAAGTGCTATAGAAAGGTCCCGAGTTCCTTCCAATTAGCATTCGACAAAGTAGTTTGCAATTCAAATGAAAGGTACCAATTTCCTTCCAGTGAACCTGGTAAAGTGGGTGCACTTCTAATGAGAGGTACCATTCTTGAAATGATAAAGAATAGCTTTTGTGAAAAAAGTACCTATGTATATTTATATTTTGGATATCAAAAAGGAGAATATTAATGATATATGTATTTATGTAAAGTATTTATGATCATATACATAGAGGGCATGTTTGATTGGATGGATTAGAGTATGAGATTGAGATTATTAATCCGTGGCCCCAATTACCCTATGTCTGTTTTAACATTTTGGTTTAGGATTATTAATCCAATGGATAATTAATCCAACAAATTTGTAGGATTATTAGTAATGGGGTAGGGGTGGGATTATTAATCCAATGGATATTAATCCAGTTCGATAGTGAATACCACACTAATTTAATATGATTATTAATACTTCACTATTAGTTTTGTGAATCAAACATGACCATATTGTACTATATTAATTAGAATTATTGGGAACTCTGCTGAACTATGTTCAGCTTACATTGTTGATATTTTTCAAGTGCAGAGTTCACTACAAGAATTTACACTTTTGGCGACTAAATTTTTAGTCGCCAAAAGTCATCTTTTAGTCGCCACAAGTAAATTTTATCACTGAATTAGGTAAAGAAGCAAATCCATCATTATAACAAATTTTATCATTCAATTAGACAAATTAAGCAAATCTATCATTGTTATAACAAATTTTATCATTGAATTAGGCAAAGTAAGCAAATTCATCATTGTATTGCAAATTTTATCACTCAATTAGGAAAATTAAGCAAACCTATCATTGTTATAGCAAATTTTATCACTGAATTAGACAAAGTAAGCAAATCTGTCATTGTATAGTAAATTTTATCATTGAATTAGCAAAAGTAAGCAAATCCATCATTGTATAGCAAATGAACATGAAGATATGATTATGAAGTTGAATATCATTGATAAAGTAATACTCTATAATACATATTGAAAATACCTTCAAGTCAAAATTTATCACTTAATTATGGTTATGAAAGAAGGAAAGATGAGTATGACTCACGTTTAATTGGCATGTTTGTTAAAGATGAACTAAACAGTGAAAGTAGGTGTCTGAATAGGAATATACATCGAAACGGTGGAAGATTTGTTGGAAGATTTGTTGGAGATTTGTAGGTTTAGCAGGCCGCTATCTGAGAGGAATTAAATACTATCTAAGACGATTTATTTAATGATTATGCTTTATTCCATTTATGAATGGATATTTAGCTGCTGTATTTTTTAAATTTATCACAAAAAATATCTGTCATAAATTTAAATTAATAATAATTGTTATTTTTATTTAATGATTATGCTCTAGTCTATTCCATTTACAAATAAATATTTTACCTATTGTATTTTTATAATTTGTCACAAAAACATCTTTTATAAATTTTAAGATTAATAAGTTATCCACCGAATTTGTTCATCTCGAATTGCATAGATGAGACTCTTCTTGAAAAAAGTCTCCCGTGAGTTTTCAAAACGGAAAAACTCTTACTGAGGAGAGTCTAATTTAAACAATTCGAGCATATTCATATTCAGTGGATGTAGCATGATTAAAATTTAAACTAATAATTTTTTTGCGATAAAATATTAGGAGGTTTGTAAATTAGATTGCAACAAAAAGGTTGGAGTCGTTTCATGGATTGAAAGTTAGACTACAACAAAAACATTCCAGTTGTTCTATAGACTCAAATACTAAACCTGACTATCCTAAAGGATAACCACATAAGTCCAACTATTGTCCAATTATTATTTCACAATACCACATAAAATTATTTAAAAAATACTAAATAATTTCTTGTAACGCCTTGAATAATTATAATAAACCAACCGTAACGATAATTAAATAACAACATAAATCAGAGTAGGATATCCTTCAATTTCATAAAACTCAGTTGTATAAAAGAGGTGGCACATGCGAATATATATAAGTCCTAACCCTGAATATATAGCATCTGACAACAACAAAATTAAGAAGTAGAAGTTAAATAGATAAGGAAATGCCCTGTAGGCTACAACTTTCCAAGACAATACTTGGTTACATCAAAAGTGAGTCTTAAGCTCAATACATATAAAGCCCTAAGCTTATACAAACATTAAATACAAAATAATAAAACTGAGCCTTCAGCCCCACAATCCTCCCAAGATAAGTTCTTGGTGGAGGCATATCACCAGCACTTAAAAATAATTTTTCCCAAATAGGGTAAGCCAAAACCCAGTAAAAATAATGTAACACAATAAATGAATCTTTATAAAGATATAAGGGTGAAATGCATATGCAATGCTCATGTCAAGACGGTTTACATTTCTTTCTCAAAATCCTGTCATGCTCAATTTATATCACAATTCTCAAACCATAACCTTTACCACTGGAAGCACGGGGAAATTCTCAAACCGGTACAAACTTTCACGAATATTTCATTCGTAGGAAACCGTCAAACGGCACCCATGTAAACGTAGCCTATACAAGCGCTACTATTTCCATTTTACAGATATTTCATATGCGGGAATCGATACCAATGTATATGCCCGTTTTTTGAGACTTTCATCCTGGACACACAAGCCAACTTAATTTGGTGACACACACCTCTTTCCATCATTCACTCATTTTCTCAAATTCATATACATATGCAATGTATTCCACGAGGAACAATGTTTAATGCACAAATATGATCAATTAGTTTCAATTCACCTAATCCTCATGCAATTTTTATAACAATCATAGTCATCCTCCATTGATAACCCAAAACAGGTATTTCTAAACAGATATAAAATCTCCAGTACAGATAAACTTTCCAAATTTCAAGGCAAGTGACAATACATATCAAACTCTACCATCAATATCAATATCCATCCAATTTCACATTCCCAACATTAATTCCATTTATTTATACAAAATAAATATTTGAAACATTTAAGTCAAAACACCTTTTCTTCCAAAATTCAATCCAAGTATCACTATCAACAATTTTATCACCACTTAATCTCATTTTCACTCCCACAACCATTTCCATACAACCATTTGAAAACCCCTCTTTTGATTTTAAACCAAAACCCTAGGTTTGTTTAAAATTCTCCAAAACCACAAGATTGTTTTATAAAAACAAATAGCTAAGTTAAAAATCATAAAAGAGTGCAGAAAATCCCTACCTCAAAGCTAGAAGACCAAGAAGAAAATGAAGAAACCTTAAGGAAGCCGAAATCCAACTTTGCTTGGATGAAAACGAAGCTCGAAGTGAGGTCTACCTTTTCCTCAAAGGGAGTAGGGTAAAGAAATCAATGGATCCAAGTGTTTTAAAAGATAGAAGGTGAATTGTAGAGAGAGAGGGTCTCAACTTAGGGTTTAGAAAGTTTAGAGAATGAGATATAAAAAAAGTGATGTAAAATGACCTTTTATGAAATAAGTTGTTTCATTCGAGCGCAAGAAGCTTCGCTTGAATGCAGAATACACACTTCTAAAAGTTTTACAGACAGAAGACCGTCGTTCGAGCACAAAAAGTTTCGCTCAAGCGAAGAACACTACCTCCCTAGTATCTCTGCAAGCCTGCAAAAGTACTGAGAACTCAAAAAGCTCACTCGAGCACAAAAAGTTTCGCTCAAGCGAAGAGGCCAAATTCTGGACAACAATAGTTTGAACCAACTAGTAACCGACCTGTTCCAAACACAACCAAGACACTCCAATACTCAAACTCAATGAGAAATAAGTAGAAACATGGTATGAATATCTAAATAAGACAAATGAAACCCAAATTCAAAACATCAACGGGTCGGGTCTAAATTAGGAACTCTATAACCTCCCCCTCTTAAAAAATTTCATCCCTGAAATTTAAAATCAAATGTTAAAATCATGTTTAAACCAATTACAACAATGATAGTCAATCAATTCCAACATCATGACCCATCCACTGGTCATTCATTCTCATCAACATGATAAACAAGTTTTCAATACTGAATATACAATTCATATTTCCAAAACATATACAATGTTAAGGAATTGAATTAACAATCAAATATGAATTAAATAGTGTGGTCCAAGGATTATGATTATTGTTATGTGGTCCCAATGAGTTTGAGTTTTGTAATGTAATATTGTGAAATTTTGTTGTTTTCTGCAGTGAAGTAAAAAAAAAAAAAAAAATTTGTTTTTTGAGATCAACTATAATGGGTACTTCAATACGCCTCCTAATATTAGTTATAAACAAGGGAAAGTAGAATCTATATATGATGTTGATCTTGACAAACTATCTCTTTTATAGATTCATACCATCTCAAGGGAGATGAAAATAGATGTCCATAGTACTTCTATTTTGTGGTATAGGAAACTTGGAAAAACTTTGGATGATGGGTTAACGATAATTGAAGAAGATGTTGATGTATATAACCATGATATGTGATGATGAAGGTTTAGATATGATTAAATTATTTGTAGAGAAGGGTCAGGAACCATTACAAGTGATAAGTCCAAAAGGGAAACATTTGGTACCCCCAAGGGTACCAGTTACTATTAAGCAGGCACTGACTTGGCATGAGATGGAAAATATAAGTAAAGAAGAGATGGATTGTGGAGATGGAGTGCAAGATGTAGGTGATGAGGAAATGCATAATGGAGATGGGGATGAAGGAGTAGCAGATGAAGATGTCAGAGATGAGGAAAGGGATAATAAAGCTTGGGATGAAGAAGATAGTGATGATCCTGATTACATTAATGATGGGAATTATGATGGTGGTTTAGAAGATGAAGACTATGAAAGTGATGAACCTGGCTGGTTGAATGAGGGTTTAGAGGGGCAAAAAGATGATGATAGTTTCTCACTAAGGGAGACTGTAAATAAAAGAAAGAGGTAACCTCCTTTATGTGATCAAGGGGCAGATGAAGGGTGGTATTCTGATCCTGAGGATGAAGATTTACACAATGTACATAACTCATTAGATGAGGAATGTGAAGATAAATAGCCTGAGTTAATTGAGGAAGTAGATATGAAGAAGCCATAACTCAAACTTGGAATGAAGTTTGCCATCCCTCAAATTTTTAGAAAGGCAATGAAAGAGTGGAATATCCAACATGGTTATGACATAAAGTACATACGAAATGACAACTCTAGGATTACTGTAGAATGCAAGCATGGATGTGGATGGAGATTGCATGCTTCTCCCATGGAAGGTGAGAACTTTTCAGATAAAATCATTCCAGCTAAAGCATGTATATGGAAGGTCATATAATAATCACTTGGTGAACTCAAATTGCTTGGCACATAAGTATATGGACAAGTTAAGGGATGACCCTAACATCAAAGTTGGGCCTATGCAGAAGACAGTTTGGAGGGAGTCCATCCCAAGTCCAAGCTTTTTAAGCAAAAAAGAAGTAACCAGCAGCAACAACAATAACAATTGCAACAGTAACAGCATCTTAAGTAGCCTAAACCTCCAATTTCATTTCATTTTGTAGTACATTCTACAACAATGACATACAGATATAAATCATTGTAGCCCAAAAGGAAGTTCCCTAGTAGGAGGGCCAACACATCCTCATATCAAGTAAGATCTGTCCACTTTGCATACTTGTTACATCATTGCAGCCCAGTTCTATTATTGATTTGCATACTTGTTACATCGTTGCAGCCCACTAGGGTTGGTCACACATTTGAAGAATTTCCAAGTATGAGAGGCAACACATCAGCATCTCAGGTAAGCTCTCTCTTCGATGGGTGTCATTTGGTTTTTGACATAGTTGACAACATATAATTGCTTACTTGGACCATTATAATTGCAGCCCACTAGAGTTCAATACAGTTCTCTAGAATTTGATAACTCATCATCTCAGGTATACTCAAATTTCATTTGCAAGTTCATTTACTTTTTACATAACTCACAACATTTGATTGCATACTTGTTAAATCATTACAGCCCAGGATTACTGAAGTTGGCCGAAATTCTCCACATTTCCCAACTTGGATGGGCAACACATCTTCATCTCAGGTAAACTCTATCTTTCTCTTCTATGCAACTTCATTTGCTTTTATAGTATTTCACAAAATGTAATTGCATACATGTGTGTGTTGCAGCCCACTAGTTATGGCAGAGGAAGGGGTGGACATGTTTGAGGTGGCAGAGTTATGTTCAGATCTGCATTGGGAGGTAGCTTCACAACAAGAGGTAGATAAGGAGGTGAGTCTGCAAAAGCTATAACTCAGATACAATGTCAAGGAATTGAATTAATAATCAAATATGAATTAAATAGTGTGGTCCAAGGATTATGATTATTGTTATGTGGTCCCAATGAGTTTGAGTTTTGTAATGTAATATTGTGAAATTTTGTTGTTTTCTGCAGTGAAGTAAAAAAATAAATTGTTTTTTGAGATCAACTATAATAGGTACTTCAATACGCCTCCTAATATTAGTTATAAACAAGGGAAAGTAGAATCTATATATGATGTTGATCTTGACAAACTATCTCTTTTATAGATTCATACCATCTCAAGGGAGATGAAAATAGATGTCCATAGTACTTCTATTTTGTGGTATAGGAAACTTGGAAAAACTTTGGATGATGGGTTAACGATAATTGAAGAAGATGTTGATGTATATAACCATGATATGTGATGATGAAGGTTTAGATATGATTAAATTATTTGTAGAGAAGGGTCAGGAACCATTACAAGTGATAAGTCCAAAAGGGAAACATTTGGTACCCCCAAGGGTACCAGTTACTGTTAAGCAGGCACTGACTTGGCATGAGATGGAAAATATAAGTAAAGAAGAGATGGATTGTGGAGATGGAGTGCAAGATGTAGGTGATGAGGAAATGCATAATGGAGATGGGGATGAAGGAGTAGCAGATGAAGATGTCAGAGATGAGGAAAATGATAATAAAGCTTAGGATGAAGAAGATAGTGATAATCCTGATTACATTAATGATGGGAATTATGATGGTGGTTTAGAAGATGAAGACTATGAAAATGATGAACCTGGCTGGTTGAATGAGGGTTTAGAGGGGCAAAAAGATGATGATAGTTTCTCACTAAGGGAGACTGTAAATAAATGAAAGAGGTAACCTCCTTTATGTGATCAAGGGGCAGATGAAGGGTGGTATTCTGATCCTGAGGATGAAGATTTACACAATGTACATAACTCATTAGATGAGGAATGTGAAGATAAATATCCTGAGTTAATTGAGGAAGTAGATATGAAGAAGCCACAACTCAAACTTGGAATGAAGTTTTCCATCCCTCAAATTTTTAGAAAGGCAATGAAAGAGTGGAATATCCAACATGGTTATGACATAAAGTACATACGAAATGACAACTCTAGGATCTTTTGAAAGTTCATTTGCTTTTTTACATAACTCACAATATATAATTGCGTACTTGTTAAATCATTACAGACCACTAGAGTTGGCCACACATCTCAAGAATTTTTAACTATGAAAGGCAACACATCATCATCTCAGGTAAGCTATCTCTCTTTTGAAAGTTCATTTGCTTTTTTACATAACTCACAATATATAATTGCGTACTTGTTAAATCATTACAGACCACTAGAGTTGGCCACACATCTCAAGAATTTTTAACTATGAAAGGCAACACATCATCATCTCAGGTAAGCTATCTCTCTTTTGAAAGTTCATTTGCTTTTTTACATAACTCACAATATATAATTGCGTACTTGTTAAATCATTACAGACCACTAGAGTTGGCCACACATCTCAAGAATTTTTAACTATGAAAGGCAACACATCATCATCTCAGGTAAGCTATCTCTCTTTTGAAAGTTCATTTGCTTTTTTACATAACTCACAATATATAATTGCGTACTTGTTAAATCATTACAGACCACTAGAGTTGGCCACACATCTCAAGAATTTTTAACTATGAAAGGCAACACATCATCATCTCAGGTAAGCTATCTCTCTTTTGAAAGTTCATTTGCTTTTTTACATAACTCACAACATTTAATTGCTTATCATTACAACCCACTAGAGTTAGCCACACTTCTCTAGAATTTCCAACTATAAGAGGCAACACATCATCATCTCAAGTAAGCTCTCTCTTCTATGCAACTTCATTTGCTTTTCTACACAACTCACAACATTTTGTTGCATACGTGTTAAATCATTACAGCCCACTGGAGTTGCCCAAAATTCTCCACATTTCCCAACTTGGATGGGCAACACATCTTCATCTCAGGTAAACTCTATCTTTCTCTTCTATGCAACTTCATTTGCTTTTATAGTATTTCACAAAATGTAATTGCATACTTGTGTGTGTTGCAGCCCACTAGTTATGGCAGAGGAAGGGGTGGGCATGTTTGAGGTGGCAGAGTTATGTCCAGATCTGCATTGGGAGGTAGCTTTACAACAAGAGGTAGAGGAGGAGGTGAGTCTGCAAAAGCTATAACTCAGAGGCAAATTGACAAAGGCTAATGGAAAGCATGATGGACTAGCAATCTCTTTTTGTGTTTTAAGTTAGCTTTTGTTGTGTTTTGAATTCTTTTCAACCTGTTAAATCATTAAGTGGGTTGTACCAATTTGTTTTTGAATTTGCAATTGGCTAGTAAACAATAGTATCTTAGTTTACTATGTTTTGAGAAGCCCAGTGGGTTGAATTATGGCTTGTATTAAAGTAATGTGAGTTGAATTATACAATTTTGAGTTGATATTTACACATTATTTGCGTTGTTTGTCCATATGTTTACTTGTTTAAATAGTATTGTGTACCTTATTGTTTGTTTTGTGTTCCTTTATTAATACACAGGTTTACTTGCTGAAATTGTTTTGTATGAAGCAAATAAAGTGTGTTTCAAATAAGGGAACAATAGGAACCAACATGTTTATATTCTTTAACGTTCTTGGAAGATGTAATCAACAATTTTATTGCATTTTTTTGGTTCATCATATGCTTACATTTCATGACCCAAAACATTCTTTCATTACAATAGCTTTACAAAATATTGTACACCTTCAGTTTCTACCTTCACTATATTTTTCATCTCTCAAACTCTATGGCCCAATACAACCCATTTTTCTTCCCTCCAACTTGCTTCACCTAGAACATTGTTATGATAAAGAAAAAAACTATGTCCCAAACAGAGCTTTACAAAACATTTTCTCCCTTCTACGACTTCTTGCTAGTTCCTTCTCCAACACGTTTATCTTTGCAACCATCTTTGGCAACACCTCCCTCACACATTGGCACATAGGTGGATTTACCCATCCAAAGTAGCCACAAGTTGCATAAACCTATAACAAAAAAATAAGAATCCACAAATTCATTTTCAAACAAAATTCAATCCTTTTCTCCCAAAAAAAAAAAAAAAAACAGAGACTATCATTACCACACTTTTCCTCAGTCTACATACAAGTCTCTTTCTCTCTCCATATATATATATATATATATTAGTCACATAAGTATTTTATTCAACAATTGTTGGCTGGATTCAAACTTCGAAGAGATTTAACACTTTATTATTGTTTTGTAGAGGTGGGGTCAGTCAGTTTGACTGGGTTGATAAATATGTGTGGGGATGGAGGGTTGTGGTCCATTTCCACAATCATTCTATATTATTAGTTGCAATATCTTTACTCTCTCTCTCTCTCTCTCTCTCTACTTGGATAAGCTCTCTACTTTCACCAGCTCTAGTGTTTTGTTTCTTGGTGTTGTCTTGTGATTCCTCCAACTAAGATTGCACTTTTTCCTCCTCCTCCCCCCCTCTCTCTCTCTCTCTCTCAGTCCCACCTATTGTCTGTTAGTCTAAACTCCAAGCCTCACAAACTAACTTCCCTCTCCCCCCCCCCTCCTTGCACTTTTCTCCGATTCTTGCCCTGCTACACCTAATCCTCCCGTTCTTGGCCTGCTCTCTCTCTCTGTCTCTCTCTCCACACTGATACCTCAATCTCACTTCCACAATTTATTGCCATTTCTTGACTTTAGTCCCCTCAGAGGCTTTTCTTCACGTACCTACCTTGAATTAGAACTTGCAAGAAGCATCTCACTTCTATCCTATATATTCTCATATACCCATTTCTCATT